CCCTCGCGGTTGCTTCGGCCCTGTGAAGTAATTAACCGAAAAACATTTACCGATTTACGATTTCATTTAAATGGTATCCACGCAAATGCCATGATTTCGTAAATCAGTTTATACTGACAATACAATTATATTATATTTCCTGACTTGACTTTGTTTTTTTTTCTTGTATTATTGTCGTAATTTTCCGAATGGCCAACCCAATTTTCCGAATGTGTTAATTTTAAAAAAGTTGGGGATAACGACCCCCCAATACCTTCCCTCGCTACGGCCCTGGGGGAGGGAAGAAAAATAAATGCAATCATAAAGGACACCTAAAAAATTTTCCCCGGAAATGTCACGAAAATTTTGGCATTAATCAAAGGCCATTGAGGCAAAACTGCAATCTGAACAACATTTTTCACGAACACAGAGGGCACTTTGCCACCGAAAAAGGGCACTTTTGAAAACCTGAAGTTTGCCTCGTATATGTGACCTGTACGCTCGTATAATCCGATTGTGATCGAAATTGCTCGACCACAGTGGACAAATGAGCGATTGAAACAACGAATCTCACAACAAATAATGCAACCTTTAAAGTACCTTACCTTGACTTTAAAATTTGCCAAAAGCAGCTCAGTCCTTCGAACGAAATTTTGACAAAACAACTTTCGAAATTTTCCGCAAGTAGTGACGAACGGTATGTTCGTTATCTTTCGTATATCCGACGATCGCCGAAGGTGTGGACATTATTACAAACAGACACGTTTTCAACTACATAGTGGTTAGCCGCGCATGCGCAGGCTACCCACAAAAATTGTCACGTCCGAAATGCGTCATAAAGCCCAAACCTGAACGTAAATTTCTTTCGCTATTCCAGGCAGAGCATATACCGTTTAAATTATCGTTTTTAAAATCACTTTAGGAGAAAATTTATTTTTTTAAGTTAAAAAGGTAAAAAACAAAAATTAAATAAACAAACAAGCAAACATCAATCAATTTAGTGAAGATTAAAAACCATGAAGAGAGGATTGTATATTCTACATTCGACATTTTTCTTCATGTTAGATTAAATTGCTTACCCCTGTCCGAACATATCATACGGTCCCCAGTCTCCGTGATGAAGCATACCCCCACCTTCGTTGCTGTAGTCTCCGCTTGGTGCGCACGACTTACACAAACGGCAAGATTTTGGTTTTGGAGGCGGCGGAGGCGGAGGTGTAGAAGGATTGGCGCAGTTTTTAACATGACCTTTTTTCTTCAGATATGGGCAATACTCTCGAAGAGCTTTTCGCAAGGACTCACGTTTGGAGCTTAAACGAAAAAGAATATCTACGTTAAGACGAGTTATCCCAATCAATATATAATGAGTCTGCGGCTATAAAGAGTCAGTCCAACTACTCTGGTGTTTCATCGAGTTGAATTGATTGTCTGGTCAAGAGTAGAGTGGATCGACCTGGACCAGGACGAAAACTTTATTATGACGTTTAAACTTCAAAAACTTTATTATGACGTTCCGGAGCGCTGCTCCTAATACCAAACACAAAAAATGGCGAATGTTGGCAAATGTGGAAAATTATACCTACTTATAAATTCACAGATTAATAGCTGCAGAAAAATGTCCTTTTGTGACTATTCCTTAAAAACCTTTAATCGCGGGGACCTAGGCTCGGCGACCCTATGGTTTTTCGCATAATATTCCTCAGCCACAAATCGACCTCATAGCCAGGCCTTCGGCGCTTGGGAAATCTACTTTTATCTATACCTTTTGAGTTTTACGGAAAGCCACGCTAACTAGCTGTTGTGTTATTCGAAAGAAGGCGTTATGCTAGCTGATGGTTTGAAGACAAAAATGCACAGATACTCTAAAGTATATCTCTGTGACAGCATATGAGTTTACACAAAATAATCACATAATTTCTTTTGCCTTTTTGTCAAAACCACTCAAAATAGACGACACCGATCAAAATGTGATGGACAGACAGGAAGGTATACTATAATTATTAGCATATAATTAAGTTTACGTGAAATGGTACAGTCATTTTTATTTTGCCTTTTGGTGAAAACCACACATAATAGACGATATACCATCATACACGACTTAGAGTCACTTTGTTTTGGTGTCTAGTTGTAACAGTGTTACAACTGTTACATGTATATAGACAGTACATGGTACACTTACTACATTTAGAATAATAATTAACAATTATTGAATGAGGTTGAGCGCGATTTGAAGAATTATCAAGCCCAAAGTTTGCCGTTATTCAATAACAATTCAATAATTGTTAATTATTATTCTAAATGTAGTAAGTGTACCATGTACTCTCTATATCTTGTTGATCTTTTTGTATTTAACGAATCTTTATCTTCCAGTAATTTTTGAATTTCGGCTTCGCCAAGGTTTGCAAACCTTTCAGTGGAAGAAGCCATTTGTATTTTATTTGTATTAAGACTAAAAAAACAATTCCTTAGTCCTTCGGCAGCCGTCGTCGTCGTCATATGGCGTCAGCGAGTCATTATGATTCTCGTCGTCATAGTAATATAGCGCAAACGCGTCCAAATTTTTTTCATATTGACTCGTTGACGTCATTTTGCTAATATGAATGTGAAAAATCCATATTTGGTTAGCAATTGAGTTGATATGACAATTTCACAGTTCGCTGTTAGCCAATCTGAAACCAGGAATTTTTTAAATAAATAATAATACAGAATAATAATACTACAGATTAGTACTGTATAAATTTTGCATATCAAATAAGCTTTCGCGCGTTCTGATTGGTTAGTTATTAACTAGTAAATCGGACGCATTATTTACCAGCTTACTAGTAAATAATGCTTTTCAAAAAGAATGATTTGGCAAATTTGGTTTCAAAATCGACAAGATATTGAAAAAATCGTCTCCAGAAAACGAAAGAAGCACAAAATCTTGTATTTAACTTGAAAGGTAGGATTCCTTTATTATTTTACTGTGTCAAACCATAGACAATCCAGAAGACAGGGACTGGAAACGCCTAATGTTTTACGCGCGCCATCCGTGATGCGGCCAGCTGCAGATCTTGCGGGCTCATTTAAACAAAAAATTAAAATATTTC